ATAAATAATATTCTATTGAATTTTAATATTTAAATCAGATTTTATTTCAGTAGTACTTTCAAGTTCTTAATAAATTATATAATTTTGTTAATTAATGTAAATGTATGTACTTTTATTATAATAGATATTGCTAATTGAAGTTGTATTTTGATTGGATTAGTTAAAATTATGCTTGATTAGTTAAATTTATAGATATTATGTGATATTGTCATCAGATTGAAATTCTGATCAATATCAATTATGGGAAGTGTCTTTTATTAGGTGATTTTTTAGAGAAAGGGAATCAATAATGATTATATAAGCAATATTAATAATATTATATAATATTTCAGGTGGGGGTGGTGGGGGAGCCTTATAATAAATTAAAATCATCTGATAAAAGACACTTCTCTTACTTTTGGCATTAGTATCACTACCAGAGTTATTAAACTTAATATTGATAATAACTAGGGCTGTTAAAAATTTGGTTCGGTCCGATCGGCTCCAGAAGCCGAGTTTTTATTGAGGTTCGGTCCGAAAGACAGACTCATGCACACATGATATTATTCACGTGCACCTGTAATAGTTATAGCAATACAAATTTATTTAACTAAAATATTATTTGCATAATGATAATGCTTTTTATCTAATTTATGCTAATTTTGGCATACAACCAACTCTTCAGCATATCGAGGCTCTTGTTGTTTCCTCCAGAAGGCAGTTTCTTTCAAGGTTAAGAGTGTTCTTTGCCGCAGAGAAGGTACGTTCGCAAGGAACTCTCATAGTTTGCAATGCAAAGTAATTTGCAGCCATTAAAGCTATGATTAGAAAGCGAAGAGCATTAGTTTTCTACTACAACAGTGGATCGGTATTCAGCCCTGAGGTTCAAACACATCGAGATAATCACAAACAAGAGCAGGTTTACGTTTATTTTTTAAATGATTTTTATTGTAGATAATATTACTAATGATTACATTATTTGAGACTCTTTTCAAGATTATTGTCACTTTCGACAGAACTTGAAACATCTTCAAAAGAGGTCTCAGCTAAAAGACTAGTAAATGGATTTGGAATTGTGAAAAATGGAAAACTTGTGGAAGATGTGAGTATCGACGAGCTGAAATTGAATATTTTAAAGAAACAGGGAAAGAAGATAGGATACTTTTAACCATTTTTTTCAGAGATTTTTGTTAAATCATCTTGTTAATGATATGATAAAATAAATAATCGAATGCCTCCAGAGATTTTTGTTGAACTGTTTTGGTAATGATCGTAAATATCTTTTGTTTGTACGTATGCATTACGAACGAAAACAATGTCATTCGTTCTTGAAAAAACAATTGGCATATGTATATATATGGTTACTTCAATCTAGTATCTGATCTATCATGTGACTATTGGGAGACGGTCCCTCCAAGCCTAAACTCAGACTCAAAAGCAACTCAGCAAAAACCGACTCAAAGACCGACTCACATAAGCTTTTTAACAGCCCTAATAAGAAGAGAATGAGTAGACTCAATAATATTCGTTAGTTTCTGATTCTTATGTTGATATCGTCCAATATATCAATCGAGAGGGGTTCTTGAGGAGTTGGGTTATTCGGGGCTTAGGTAAGGTGGTTTGAGGTTTCTATATTTTTGCAATGGAGTTCTCTATCAATATTATCTTTGATATTAATTTCCAAGCAATGCTTTTTCTAGCTAAAACCTTAAACTATTCAAGAATAAAGCATTTTCAGCCAATTAATAACCCATTAATAACATCAATGTCCAATCGGTGCCTTTTTTTGGATCAAAGATCCTAACCACAATTAACTACAACAATTTTTACAATCTAAATTACTTGGAGAAGGATTGTACGCAATTAATTCTGATTCTTTATTGATGTCCTTGAGGACTTTATATACATGTATATATATATATTTTTGGATTAAATGTGAGACATTATTCTCGAACTTAACGCATGATGCACATCATTGTTAAGAGCAAATTTAAAAGAGAATTCAAGGGAGAATTTAAAATATAATCAAGGATTGAATAAAAATAGAAAACCAGAGATAAAAATAGAAATTAAAATACAACACCGCATAGAAATCGAGATAGAATTTTGGGTCGAATACATGTAAAGCAGATCGACGGAATTAGCTCTAACCTCGGCAACACTACTAACGCTAACGCTAATATTTTTCAAAACCAACGATGATTAGTCTTTATCAGGTCAGTGAAATAGGAAAATAAAGATTTCTAAATCTCTATGGATTTTTACTAATGCATAAAAAGGTTAGGTGAAAACGTAGGAAACTGTCAGTTGCTAGTAATTTTTTTGAATTTCTTTATATAAATCGGTCGTAATGTTTTTATGTATCAAAAAATAAATTTAGATGCATAATCGATAGATCAGAATCGAAGCTCATCACAAGGCACAGACTATGTGGAATGTACAAAATGTTGAATATAGGTTTCAGCAACACACCGAAATGACAGTGCTGAAACTACTGAAACTGAAACTATACTAAACCTTATTAATCTGTCAGTCAGCGTCAAACTATATTAGTTTCTTAATAGTAGACCCGCCGAAACTGGCAGACATTATTAAAAAAGCACGTTAACAGGGAATCGAGTACACAGGGATTAGAGTTGCAACATTTCTATGGGTGTCACTACCTACGACACTACGGCTATGGCGTAGAAGCCGTACTATCCTTAGAACACATTTGACGTAGTGGTAGTGAGGGTAGTGGTGGTGCGACGTGAGCTCGATGAAAGGGTATACTGTGCATAAATTTTACGCTCTACGAACACTCCTCAGTACCCTAACTATGTCAACTACCAAAGTGCTGTAATGTCGTTGAGGTAGCTAGACTTTATACGGTTAGTATTAAGAGAAAGGCATGCGAATGTTTGTGACTAATGGCCAAAGACGGATAGTTTATGATAAGCGTGTGGGCGTTTGTGATTAATGACCAAATAGAGGATGTAATTCGCTCTAGTGAGACACTTCATTGCTTATCCTTCCATTACTCGTTTGTGAGCTATAGCAGCTTTCTCAGCACTATCATTTCTATGATTAGCAGACACTGTGTTGGATACTATATATTATCTGTCACATCCGTGAAGGAAAGACTCGGATCGATCCTATTTATAAATGAATTCATTAAAAAGATTATAAGAACAATATCTGATTTTTTTAAAAAATTTATAAAAATAGCTATCTTTAAGTTTAATCAGCAAAAAGTTAAATTAGTATTGGAAGCTAAAAATTACATTTTGTTACTTGAAGGTGGAACTTGTTTCGAAGAAGATAACTTTAGATTTATACCGGATCTAACTATTTTGATTTGACAAAGAAAAAGTTTAATTTGTCTAGTAAAACAACTTATGACAAGAAGGAAAGCAATTACTATATATGGTCCAGTGCAAACATGTTGATACACGAAAAATGAAAGTTAATAATTACTTCTAAAAAAGTCATACAAAATATAATTAATATTTATATTTTTTATATTAAGTAAAGCATATCTTAATATAACTTTTCATATTATTTTAGTATTTTTTATACTTTTATTTAAGAATAAATAAAGCAAAACTTTTCACTTTTAGACAATAAAATTTGCAATTTTTAAAAATTAAAAATAATTTTTAGATATTATCATTATGAATTTCTATCTTTAAAAGTTTATACTTAGCAAGTGCATTAATATAAATATATTTCAAATTTTAACAAAATTAAATCATTGGTTGTAAAGTAATTTGATATGGTCTGATGCAAAAATATAAATATATCACTTTGCTATTAATAAAAAAAATTTTATTTTTAAAATTTTAAAATTTTAATTTTTTAATATTTAATATTTAAATTATAATTAATATATTTATATAATTTATTATATATAAATAAAAATAAAAAATTTTATTAATCAATAACTTTTTCAATTTGATTATTTTAATTTTTTTATATAATAATTTATAATCATTTTTAATAAATTTATATCATGGAAAAAAAATTTTAAACTTTAACGCTTAATTTTTCAACAACTAGTGATACAATTTTGCTAAGCTTTGAAATATATATATATTATATATATTATATATATATTAATGCACTTGCTGAATATAAATTTCTAAAAATAGAAATTCATAATGATAATACCTAAAAATTGCAAATTTTATTGTTCAAAAGTGAAAAGTTTTGCTTTATTTATTTTTAAATAAAAGTATAAAAAATACTAAAAATAATATAAAAAGATATGCTTTACTTAATATAAAAAAATATAAATTTTAATTATATTTTGTATGACTTTTATTAGAAGTAATTACATGTATTAACTTTCATTTTTCGTGTATCAACATTTTTGCACCGGACCATATTTTAGCATATTTTATAATTCAAAAAAATACAAAGTACATGAAAATCAAAAGGAAATGCTCATATTTATATTTGAATACATTATAATGTATTTTAAATAAAATTTACTTAGTAAAAACGCCCAACCAACGCAGTATCTCTCGAATTGAACAGTGCTACAAGATTGAGCAAATAATGCAGGTTTGACTTTTCTTAAGTAACACGATACATGTGCGCGCGTAATAGGGGTATTCTAATGCCAAACCTTACATTGTACGTAAATAATTTCCTTTTAACGGCATTTGCAACACACAGTATTAAAAAAGAAAAATACATGTACAGTATATTCTACTATTTATATCTGAATTTGTTTTATCGTTATCCTATTGTTAATCAGACAAGAATAACCACCATACTGTGTATATCGATATACACATTTACAATACGTCGAACGTAAGAAAAAAAATCTGCTGCTTCTTGCATATGAGTTGACTGCTCGTTTATTTTGCAATACATCAAAGTGTGTAATAATAAAAAGCAAAATCATTCTAGAAAAACATAACTATCGTTCTTTTTGCCAATAAAATTCCGGAAAATTAATTTCAAAAAAGTATAAAAAACGATCTAACCTGATTCGTTTTAATATTTTTATCATTACGCTGCTGGAAAACACTAACATGACAAGACACAGTATTGATCCAAGTTTTTTGAATACATCAGAAGATAAGCTGTCATGCATCGAATTAGACTTTTCGGAAGAAAGGGTTTCATTTATCGAGAGTATACTAATAGAGAAAAGTGAAACAACGTCTATAACATTCACCGAAGACATTTCAAATTTACGTAAAGTTACTGACAAAATTCCAACAGGTTAATTATTGTTGTTAAAATGATTTTTTCGTATTCATGACATGATGAATGTTAAAATAAATATCACGATCATGTAGCATGTCGAGTTGTAATATTTTGCGAATTTTGCGATCGATTCACACTTTTTGGAATAATGGCCATACTCCAAAATTATATTCAGTTTCCTTTACCCACTAATGGTAGTCAACAACCAGGCGTTATGGGTAAAGGGGAAAAAGTCGCAACAGCATTAACACTATTTTTCAGTTTTATAACTTACTCAACATTGATAGTTGGCGCAGTGATTGCCGATGTCTATTGGGGAAAATACAAGACGATAATTGTATTTGGAATTATTTATGCTTTAGGACCATTCATCCTAACAATAACCTCAATTCCTCAGCTACTAGACACCAGTGCACCATTCGTGGGCTTAATTGTTGCCATTTTGTTGATGGGACTTGGACGTGGGGGTGTAAAGTCCAATTATACGGTAGCGGCTGCAGAGCAATATCCTCATAAAGAACCATACATAAAAACATTGGAAACTGGGGAAAGAGTCATAGTCGATCCAGAAATAACTATTCAATCGATCTTTAATTGGCTATATGTGCTGACAAGTCTCGGAATGCTTTCACCATTTATTACAACTCCCGTAGAGAAATTTCATTCTTTTTGGCTGGCGTATTTAATATGTTTTGTGGTTTTCCTTCTTTCGAACTTGGTTTTCTATTTTAAAAACAAAGAATTCAACAAAATTCCTCCTAATGGATCCATATTTGTCGATGCCTTCAAAATATTTTCGATTACTTTGAGAAGTCAATCACGTAGTTTGGATTCGGCAAAACCGTCAAATATGAATACCGCTCAGTTAAGTGAGTACCATGTAAAGTGGGATGACAATTTTGTGGATGATCTGAAAAAAGGGTTGCAAGCCTGTAGTCTCTTCTTGTTTTATCCGACCTACTGGGCAGCATGGAGTCAATCACGTACAAATATGATTTCTCAAGGGGCGACGATGCGATCCGAGAATATGCCAAACGATTTAATGACCAATATCGTTCCGTTGGCGGCGGGCATTGTTTCTATTATTGTGGATAAACTCTTTTATCCAACACTGCGTAAACACGGCGTATCACTTTTACCAACTTCTAAAATATTTATTGGATTTGTTTTTATGGCTTTGGCAATGGTGTATTGTGCAGTGCTTCAATTGTTTATATATAGAACAGGTCCATGTTATGAACACACACTTTGTATTATTGATGGTAAAATGGTTCCAAATGACATTAGTATTTGGTGGCAAACACCTGGTTATTTTATGATCGCGGTTTCTGAAGGTACTATTTATTATTGTTGAACATTTGACTTCCTTTCGTTTTCATCGTCCTTTTGTTTGATATTATTATTTTAGTTTTCGTCTACATAACTGCACTTGAATATGCATATCATAAGGTAAATACCTTTGTTCGGGTTGTTTCCTAATTCGTTTTCATGATACATGTATAAATCGTTTTTTATCGATAGGCACCGAAGTCGATGGAGTCAATCGTCACCGCTTTGTTCTTTACAACTGATGGTGTTGGATCAGCCTTAGGACTCATCATGGTGCCATTTTCGCATGATCCTTATACAATCTACGCTTATATAACTATGTCGGTAATAACTTGCGTCGCCGGAACATTATTAGTAATGCTGTTTCGTAGATATGATATTGAGTCATCTTCTGCTGTGAAAAACAATTCAGCAACTGAGGGTTGCACATTTTTGTAATTTTTATATTTGTCGATGGAAAAAAATGGGATATTCTTAACTTCTTGTAAAAGTAAACTGTAATATAATATGTATCCATACTAGAAATGCAAAAAATCTTTTACTTTCAATCATAACATAAATATATTTATCTAGAGTGTAATTACCTTAAAGTAATCTCATGATATTGCAAAATTATAGACTTCTTTTTTTTTTAGCTATAATGTGAATGTGCTCTTTGTTATTGAAAATTATTTGTTCACATTAGGGTTCCGAAAAAAAGTCTGGTTCGGTTCGAGTCTGGTTCGGTTCGAGCTTGAACCGGACTCGAACCTGACGA